CGAGCGGCCCGTGGGGAGGGGGAAAGGCGGCTGGGGCCTGCCCATGTCGGGAGAGTCCCCGGACTTGGAGGGAACGGACCCGTACGCGATCGATAACGCCATGGGGGAGACCGGCACGGTTACTCCCCCCGGAGGCCGCGACGTGGAGTAGGTAGGGGGGGCTTTGGAAGAGACCCTGGTAGACCCGCCCGGGGGGGGGGGGAGGAAACGAGCAAGCCGCGGTTGGTTGTCGAACAACTCCTTTTTCTTCAAGTGGGGGATGCTTGGAGGAACGACACAGCGGTGCCTGCTGCTGCTGCTGCTGCTTGTAGAGCGCCTTCAGTGTCCCATTGCGTATCTGTTTGAAACGTGCGTGCGATTTACGATTGGCGGACGGGAATTTAGGTGGTTCATGTACCATGGTTCTTTTTTGTGACGGGATGGATGGATTCAGGGAAAAAGAGGGGGGGAGAAAGAAGAGCGTGAACGACATGTCTGTAAAGCTCTTGTGGGGACAACCCGATGAGCGAAAACAGACAAAGACTCTTTGCTTGTTTTATGGTAGGACGCAACAACGGTGTCATCCATCGGATCGCCTCTGTTGCCTTTCCGGCTTCCGCTCCTCCCGCGTCTCATGTATTTTTCGCCCGCGGTCGGTTTGCCAACCCTCTCTGATGTGTGTGGTACAAGTGTGTGCTGTACCCCTGGGGCCAAGGGTCCTGGGGAGGAGTGGGAAGGGTACGGCGAAATATTACTTGTACGTACCCCCCCCCCCCCGACTAGCGCGAGTCTACACGGCTTTTCCCTGACGGGGACGCGAGAGAGGGGAGACCACGAGGTTCGCTTGTTGAGTGGCGGGCGGTCTCTGTCGATGTTTTTGCTGTTTTTGCGTGTTAGATTCGAGAGTTTGAACACTCCGCCGCCGGTCGCACGCACGCACGTACGTCATACCACATGATTTCACACCACTTTCGGCGGCCCACCTTTTATTTTATTTTCCCTGTCGATACGATACAACGCATCATCTTTTCGGTGAATGAGGATGATGGTGCTATGCATGTCTGTGCCGGGAGAGAAAGAGGAAGCATTGTAGAGAGGTGGTGCGCGCGATAGTGGGGCGAAGGAAAAACATTTTCTTACGACACAGTGTCCGAGAGGGATCTCGCGTTTCGTTTTTTTTTTTTCGTTTCTTTTTTGTCAGGGTTGAAGGGAACAAATACCGATTTGACTAACCGGCGAGGGGGGTGACGTAAGAAGGATGGCTGTTGGTTGCCTGGCTATGCATTGGAAAGAGAGAGAGAGCGCGCCAAGCTCGCCCCCGCCGCAGAGTTAGGTGTATCAGATGAAGAATCGAAAGAAAAAGCCGGTGAGAGAGAGGGGGCTGGGGGGGGGGGGGGGGGGGGTAGGAAACCGGGTCAGGTGTGCGTTGTTGTTTTTTTTCATGCCTCTCCATCCCCCGCTCTTTTCGCGCTCCAGGCACTCAGAGCGGAAAGAGTGCTTCGACAGTAGTTGTTGGTTGCTACACGGCTCGGTTTTTTTCCCCTTGTCTTCTGCGCCTGCACTGCTGCTGCCCCTCCCCCTCCCCTCCCCCACACACACTCTGCAATCCAACGAAACCTCTCGTTGTATAGCCCGGCTGAAAATCGAGCCCGTTCTGTTTCCGGGTGAAGAGAGGTAGGTCATGGAGAGCAGTGCTGCATTTAAGTCCCATTTTATGTGTATCTGGTTTTGTGGGCATAGAGCAAGTGATATTCCAGGGTTGAAGGGTCCTTCGGGGTTCGCAGGGGGGAGGGGGGGGCAAGTGGACGGAGCAGGGGCAAATGCAAGTTTTACACAACCTCGGACGGGATGATGAGGGATGTTCCTGCTTTTGTTTTCGGTTACACTCTTCTAAGGCGTGTTGTCTGGGGTATCGTACTGCTGTTGTTGCTTGTTCAGGTACAGTACGCCAATATATCGTATCGGTGTTGTAGTAAAGGTTGTTTAATGCGAAGCACGAAATAGTTATGTGGTGCGTGTGATGTTGTCTCTACGTATATTTTCTATCAAGATTTTTTTTTCTGTTGTGCGGCGGTTTTGTTTTTTTTCCCTACTCCAATCTACCCGCACTCTCCCCGACTTTTCCATTCCGTTCTCCGCCCGCCTGGAACGGTTCTTCTTGCATTTTCTTTTCGTCTCATCTGTCGATGATGGCCAACGCTTGCGTGGCTGGATAATTTAGTTCTGAGGCGCTTAGAGCTTTCGCGAGGTACATGTAAAACAAGAGTCGAGCGTCAACAGAACGAAAATGCGGCCATGGGGTTGGGGGCGGAGAGGGGGGGGGGGGGGGGGGGGG